CTTCCCTGTCTCTTATACACATCTAGATGTGTATAAGAGACAGGAGCAGCGGGGGAGGGAGAGGTGATGAATGTGAATGATATGACATTGAAAACAGGCATGTGGCATGCGTGCTCATGAATGCGGAGAGAACACATAATTGTTTGTGATGGAGGCTGATGACTCTCAGTGGTTATTTGGTGCCCATGTTGACGGAGACGAGTTGGGTGTTCATCACCCCCTCTCAAGCGCTCAGCCTGGCAATGTTGTGCTGTCCTCCCCGCTCATAATGGCATTTGCAGTTGCATGTACGACTTGGATGGAGATACTGAGCTACAGGGAAAAGACATGAAGTTCGGTTGTCGGTGGTGGGCTTTGGTGTATCTCTGTCCGCCGAATGCTGTTCATTGAATCTAGACTTACCTTTCGCTGGATCGAATGCTCTACTTGCAAGAGATTTACAGGAAGGGTGGGGTGAGCAATCTGTTTATGTCTGGGGAGGGGGAGGGGGGAGGGAGAGTCTGAAAGAGGAGGTTAGTGTGGTACTCGATTTCTTCGGAGGTATCGCACTTGCTCTCGAGGAGGAAAGAGGGGCCAGCAGGAGGCATATGCCATGAAAGAGGACGCTGTTTCCTTCCTTGCCCTGATAACTCTTGTGCATGCGTGGGTGGACGAGTGCGTGCATGTGTGTGGGGTTTCGCGTGTGAGTGGCTAAGACTGTGTGTCTATGTTGTTGTGCATGGAAGGGGGAAGTGGGTGGCGGCAGGCAGTAGGCGATTCAAGGGTGTAGTATACTCCGTGTGTTTCTGCCTTTGCACTGCGTCAGGGTGGAGTTGGGCAATTATATCCGGCTCTGTAGAATGCTGCTGTGAATTGCGTCGCGGGACTCGCGGCTGGATTTAAACTTTTTGGAACGTCCTGATCAAACATTGATGTTGTCAATCTCTCTGTGGATTGAGCTTTTGCAAAGCACTTAAAAAGACTGGAAGAACACTAATAAGGCTTCGGAAGAAGAGGGACTGCATGGGGGGTTTGCTTGGGGGGCTTGGTACGCCAGCCTCCTTGAAATGAAAATTTGAAACCTCATCCTCTTGAATGAAACTCCTTTTTTAAAAATAAAATGTGACCTGCCCTTTTATATGAGTGTGAGAGGTGGTGCCCAACATTTTTCTCGTCTCGTGTGTAACCTTATCATTGTGTGTTTACAGTGTTCACGTCTCATGTCGTTGTTGTCAAGAACTTGTGTGTAATAGTAGGCTGGTTTGTGGATTCGACTTGTTGATGGTGATTGTGGTGTGTGGTTTCATCCCAGAATAGATCTATGTAAAGATACTGTTTATTTTTAAGATACTATTTTTCTTTTTTTTGAATCTGTATTAATTTCACATAAGTACAATAATATATTATACTGTTGCATGTTGTGGGGCAAAGGTGGATTTGTTGTGGCGTTTGCGCTTTGGATTGATGAATGTTTTGGAAAAACGCCTCATCTGAGCCTTTGTGCTTTGGGAGAGAGACTGCAGATTATAAGGTCTGGTGTGAAATAAAGGCGGTGTGGGTGGGTGTGCGTGACTTGACGTGGTTGGGTAGATCCGGAGGACATGCGTGCTAGGGCAATCCAAGATCAGTGGATTGTATTTGATTCTTTCTACCTTACTCGTCAACAAAGTGTTATGTTGAAAGTCTTATTTTTTTCCGCAATCATTTTGCGTCGGAGACTTTATGGGAAAGGGTGATACAACCTGTGTGTGTGTGTGTGTGTGTGTGTGTGTGTGTGTGTGTGTGTGAGAGAGAGAGAGAGAGAGAGAGAGAGAGAGAGAGTTGCAGCCATTATATCATTTCTGTCAATGAGTGTGGCCAATTTTTAACAAACGGTGCCAAGTGGGGTCCAGTCTGTATGTGTGGGTTCGGATGTCCTTTGCAGGTTCCCATTTATGCGTTGGCCTGCAACACTCTTTTAAGGTGAGAAGAATGAACTTGTATAAACGGGTCTGCCTCATTCCATTGTTTCTGTATCAAGAAATTATGCCTATGCCAACCTGATTGGAGTGGAATGTGCAGCAACTCCTCTCTTCAGTTGGTTGCGAAGCTCGATACCTGCGTATTGATGTGATGTGGTAAAAGTGATTATTAGTGCCCGCAAGCGGAAATGCAACCCGGTGTGGTGCGTTTTGCCCAGCAAGTGGGACTGTTGTGGCCTTTGCGCAAGGGTGAGTTGCTGAGATGTACCCCAAGCAAGCGGGCCATTTTTGTCGACGGAGAAGTGTGCTCGTATCAAGTGAGAACTAACCCAGCACTGCAAGTGTTTCTTGGTGTCAGAATTCGGCTGCAGATCTTCTTCTTCTTCTTTTTTTTTTTTTTTTCCCAGCACTGCAAGTGATTCTTGGCGTCCGAATTCTGCGGCAGATTATAGTATATTATTATTATTATTATTTTTTTTGGAGCCCAGGATCATGGTCCCACTGGCAACGGGATAGTGTGATGGAAAGGTGAAAGAGTTTGTGTGGCAGTCGAGTGACCCAAATCCTGCCGTGCAGTCTTCGTGAGTGATCCCAGGGTCCGTATTTTACGTCTATTACCCGAAAACGTAAGGAGATCTTGGTTCCCCTCGTCCTCTCCTTAACACTGGGCTTGCCGGTGCAAAGGAAGATTCCCGGCAAAAAATCTTTTCAATCCGTTTGGGAGAGTGGATACAAGATTTTCAGTATTTCGCTTGCTGTTGTGCAATTACCTCGTTGGGTGGAGCCCTCCTTCAATCACGGGGTATGTATATATGTCTGGAGCTGTCTCTTATACACATCTAGATGTGTATAAGAGACAGCTCCAGAACACAGCACTTCCTCTCTCTCTCTCTCGA